GCCCTGGGTTGTCCTGCTGAGCAGGACCCAACGTGCCCCAGAGGGAAGCTCAAGGAGGCAGAAGTGGCCGGGCTGTCCTTCCTACTTGAGGAGTAAGAGCTAACTGTTGGTCTAAGAGTGGGCCTCTGCCCTTCACCCTATGCATGGCCTCCTCTATCCCCAAGGGACATTTTATGGCTGGACGAGGTATTGGGTTCCCTCCCTTCTCATAGACAACATCAGCTGGGAGGACAAAGTTGATGTGTACAGTCCTTACAACAGGATCTGGCTCAAGAGAATTAGTTTTAATTATTCTTGTATTCATCCAACAAACATTTACTGAATACCTATTTATATGCTGGGCACAAATAAATAAACATAAAATGCCACACTTAGTAGACAGGTTCTATAAAGAAAAATAAAGCTGGGTAAGGGAAACATTCACGAGGAGGTAAGACAGGATACTCTGAGAAGGTGGCATTTGAATAGAGAACTTGTGAAGTTAAAAAAATAGCCACGATACCTGGGCAAGGGGGTCCTAGGCAAGGCAGCAGCAGGTGCTAAGGCACCCACCCAAGAGTGTATTTTGCAAGTTTAAGGAACAGCAAGCAGACCAGCAAGACCGAGTGTGGGCTCCAGTGGCAAGAAATAAGTCTAGAGAGGGGCAGGGCCTTGTAGAACATGGCACAAACCCTGGAATTCATTCCAAGAAGGACTAACAGCCATTCAGATTCCTGAGCAGAGAAATTACGTCAAAAAGATCAAAGATCACACAGGGGCTGAGGTTGTAGCTCAGTGGTAGAGCACTTGTGTAGCACGTGTGAGGCACTGGGTTTGATCCTCAGTGCTACATACAAAAATAAATAAAGTTATAAAAATATATTTTAAAAAAAGAGTCCAGGGGCTGGGGCTGGGGTTGTGGCTCAGTGGTTGTGTGCTTGCCTAGCATAGGTAAGGTACTGGGTTCAATCCTCAGCACCACATAAAAATAAATAAAGGCATTGTGTCCACCTACAACTAAAAACTTTTTTTTTATATAAGAAAAAAAAAGTGTATTGGATATACACTATTAAGAACTCCTGTCAAGGCTAAGGGTCTGCAAACATTCTGTAGAGCCAAGTAGCAAATATCCAGGCTCTGCAGGCCACCAGCTCTGACACAACTCTTAAACTGTGCCACAGCAGGGCAAAAGCAGCCATAGAGCAGCCATATACAAATGCACATGGCCACGTTCCAACAGAACCTTCCTTACCAACAGGAGGCATGGCTATAGTGGGCCAACCCTACTGTGGACCTAACTTCTACTTTATAGGAAATACACCCACAGGGAACAAAGCAAACAATGTCAAAAGGCAGTAAGGGACACATTCGGCCTTTCTACAACAAGACAGTCAGCCTGGCTTGTCAAGGCTATCAGTTCTTGGAGGGCAGGGGGACAGAGGGCTAAAGTAGATTAAAAGAGGCCAAAGAGACAGCAGGAACCTAAAGGAATCCTTGTTGAAGAAAAATTTTTGGAGGTAACTGGGGAAATTCGAGTATGGCACAGGTAAGGAGAGGGGAGCAGTAAACACACGTTACAGGTGAGCATCCCTCATTCAAACGCTTTATATCTAACCTTGGAATTTTTTTTGGATTTGGGGATTTTTGCATAGCCCTTATGAGCATTTCTGACAGGAAAATAAAAAATGTTCCAAAATCTGAAACTTTGAGCATCATATTGGTAGATAAAGTTTCCAATGATGGAGCATTTCGGATTTCAGATTTCCAGATCAAGAGGCTCAACCTGTATACTCATCTCAGGTGTGAGGATATCATGATCTTGTGAGGGAAAGTCCTTATTCGTGGCAGATGCCTGTCTCCAGTGGTAAGGAATAGTGTCATGAAGTACAAACAGAAGCACAAAATAATCAGGAAAATAACAAAAGATTCAGTAAAAATAGCCCGATGAGGTAAATACAGCATAAATACTGCACCCAGGTGCAGGTACCTGCAGGTTAATACAGTGATACTATTCTTTCAACTTTTCTGATCTGAAACAAGCTGCCAGCAGGGTGGGGTGCGAGGAGGGTCCCCAGCTTCCTGGGGAAGGCAGGAGAGGCAACCAGGTTCCCAGTAAGGAAGGTGCTGCAGTGTCCAAGCCATGTTCAGCCACCAGCGTGCTTCCTGTCTCCCCTGCCACCCCATCTCTCTCCAGACTCAGGGCAACCAGTGACCTCAGGCCTATGTGGGGCAGAGCAGCAAGGAAAGCATGGCCAGCCATAAGCAGAACAGAGTGGCCTCCCTCTTGCTGGGTTTCTGGCTCACAACGCCCCCAGGGCTAAGGGCAGGAATCTGGGGTTTGGTCTCTCTGGATCCAACCCAGCGGTTCTCTCTCCAAAGGCAGCAGAAGTTCCTAAGAAAAGGAAAAATGCTCCATCCAGCTCCCACAGTCTTAGTAATGGGAGTCATACCACACTGAAGGGTGTGTCACCTTGTGAGAATGGAAACTAGATCATCTCTCTTGCCTACTAAACCACTGCTGGCTCCCTGCTGCTCCTTTTCCAGGCTTGCAAGTTGTGTGCCAGGTACTGCTGAATCAAGAGCTTCCTGTTTATCATCCCCTGAATCTCTTAACAACCCTGTGACAAACCCCAATTTATTAAATGCCTGCCAAGCTCTGCAGGGATCTCCATCTAGGGGCCAAGGCCCTGGCTGGGCCCTCCAGCTTCAAGCGCCTCCACTTCCCCTCTTCCAAGACTTCCGCTGGTGGATTCCCTGGTGACACAGAACTCTCTGTGGTCCCTGGGACACACAAGCTGTTTCACTTCCAGGCCTCAGTTTATGCTGAACAGTCCTTTTCCTGGACCTTTCTAATTCCCACCTCCTATCCATCCTTCAAAACTCAGCCCCCCTCCTACCAAAAAAAAAAGAAACATAACAAACAAACAAACAAGCAAAAAACAACTCAGCCCAACACCCAGGTCCTAAGCATCTATTTGTCAGATTCGCTCTCACTGACAGCCTATATTTTGGTCCCCAGTTATCAACTGAGTAACAACTAAGCTGGCCTGAAATGGTAATTCTGTTCCCCTTGGTGGGGTAAGTATATTTTTAACCTTGGGGAGATATGCAACAATAATTACAGAATAGACTGTGGTAACATCTTGTGATATTATTTTGTGCAGGCTCTAGAACTGCACTGTCCAAGAGGGTACCACTAGCCATGAGTGGCTACTGGAATTGATTAAAGGCAATTAAGATCAAATTTCCACTCTTCAGTTGTCACACTTAACATTTCCATCACAGCAGGAAGCTCTCTTGCATGGCCCTATTTAGGCTTCTCCAGAGGGTCAGCAGAAGCCCTACCCCACAGGCAAGCTAGACGTGTTTCTCAAAGTGATGTCCAAAAGGATGAAGTGGGAGGAAGAACTTTGCCACTCCTTATAAAAGGAATGAGTTTTCTAATATACAAAGAACCTTCAGATATAAATAAGAAAAACACCAACTACTCAATAGAAAAAAGATATAAACAGATAGTTCAGAAAAGGAAATTCACATGGCCCTTGAAGCTCAAACTCAACCAGAGAGAGAGAAACCCTGAAGGGCTATTTCCCACTACTCAGACTGATAAAAACCCAAATGTTTGAAAACACAAGGCCATGAAGACACTCAGACATCACCTCATAGAACTATTTCTGAAAACAACACTTGCAAGCTGAACACAGTGACTCAAGAGGCGATCACAGATTCAAGGCCAGCCTCCACAACTTGCAAGCTGCTGAAAAGGACTGGGAATGTGGCTCAATGGTAGAGTGACCCAGGTTCAATTCCAAGTACCATTTAAAAAAAAAAAAAAAGACAAGAATACATTCTTGTGACCCAGCAATCCTACTCTAAGAATTCCTCATACAGGCTGACCTGCACACATGAGAAATGAGACAGCACACATTTCACTGTGGCATTGCTTATAGTGAGCCAAAGGCTGGACACAACCCCAGTCACCATTAACAAAGAACTGCTAGTTAAACAGGGATGCACATGTCCAGCTGTTAAAAAGAGAAGCAAAAAAACACTGTGGTGGGGCAGCAGCTCTCTATACGAGACGAGACGGAAAGAGTCCACAAGATACTCAGTGAAGTGCAAAAGGCAAGTTCAGAACAGCGTGGGTGCAGTGCTGCCTTCTAGGACCCAGGCGCCAAGGCCTCCATCTGCTCTTCAAGCACACAGAAGACAAGTAGTTATCTGGGGGATGGAGAACGGAGGGAAGGGGAACGGGTAACAGTGAAACTTTCACCAGACACCTCCTCATTCCATATGGCAAGGACAGGGGAAGGCAGTTTGTTTGTTTGTTTGTGGTATTGTTGTGGAGTTGAAGATGGAACCCAGGACCCCGAGAATGCTAGCTAGGCAAACATTCTAGCTCTGAGCTAAGCCCCAGCTTGCCTTTAATTCTTCTTCCTCTTTTTGGTACTGGGATTGAACCCAGGGTACTGGGATTGGTTTACCTCAGCTCTTTTTATTTTTTATTTTGAGACAAAAACTTGCTAAATTGCTGAAGCTGGCCTTGAGCTTGCAATCCTCCTGCCTCACCCTCCTGAGTTGCTGGGATTATAGATATGTGCCTTGGTTCCCCACTCTCAGCCTGACTTTTGAACCAGATGAATCTACATAACTTCTTCTGATTATTAAATTGAACTTTTAAAGTGACTTTCTAGACCTACTTTGGAACAACAAAGATGCTCACTAGGAACAGTCTGCTGACCCTCCATAGTGGTCAGGCCTAAAGTCTGTCATTAACAAGCTCTTTCTAACAAGTCAATGTCATCAGTGACTCTGATGTGCCTACAAGTCCAAGGACAGAGTGAAATTTTCACACCAAAACTTCCAGTTCTTCTCAGTTCCAGGTAGAAGACTTCACACCAGAAGTGTGGAAAACTGGGAATTCCTCAGCTGGGCCCAGGGGAATATGTCCATTGTGCCTCTTCCCCTCGCACCAAGCTTGACCATTCTCAAAGGGCAGCCACATGGAAGTTCAGACTCACCTCTCATCTGGAGAGTCCACATGGAAGGTCCTCTCAATGACAGTGGTCCACTGCAGACAGCGAATGACGAAGGTGTTGGGCCTTGGCCTCTCAGTCTTCATCAGCTGACATTCTGCAGGCAGGGGAGGAGGATTGGGACAGTGAGGGGATGACCCTGCTGGCCTGCAGCCCATATTCCCTGAGCCACCTTTGTGTCAAGTCCCATGTCAGATGGTGCTGGGGACCTATCAGAGATCAAGACAGCTCTGGCCTTGCCCTCAGAGCAGACCACCAGATGGTAACAACTTAGCAGTCGGGTTGGGACAGAGACAGCCAGAGGCAGCATTCAACCTAGCTGCAGCATCCAACCCTGAGGAAGGGGCATCTCTGACCTGAGGCCTGAAGGCAAAGAAAACTGAGTCAGCGGGGATGTCATGTACAGAGAAGCCCAGCGGTTAAGAGGCGCCCAACATACTCAGGGATGCCAACTCTGCTCCAAGTGTTAGACAGGGGAAAGAGAGCAGCCACTTAGGAAAGATGGGCCAGAGTCAGCTGGACAGGGCTTTGGAGGCCATGGTAAGGAATATCAACTTTATCTTCAGGGCAGCAGGGAGCCATGGAAAGGACATGGACAGACTGAGACAGATCCCCTGGCTGCCATGGAGGATGAGACTGGAGGCCAGAAGCCAGGGAAGAGGCTGTGGCAGGACCCAGATGGAGGGGATGAGCTGCAGCAGAGTGGGGCAGGCAGGGGAGGAAAGGGAGCAGGTTGCAGCAGGAGGGAGAGGCATTTGGGACCAACACCAGGCACAACAGAGCTGTCCCAAGGAGACTAAGAAGATGACAAGTTTGAAAGAGGGAAGGAGAAGGGAGGTGGGAAGGTCAGTTTGAAACATGGTGAGTATGAGGAACCTGGAGAATACCTGGGGAGAAATGTCCAGGAAGCTGCTGGGGAAAGGCTGGGAGTACAAGCAAGAAGTCGAGGCAGAAGCCACCAGCATATGGAGAAAGCAGCCAGGAAAAAGGCTTCCTACAGACAGTGGAGGGCTGGGTTGCAGGAGAGCCTCCAGGGAGGAGTTGGGCTAGGGAGGAAGCTGTAGGAGAGACCTGAGAGGATGGTGCCGAGGAGACTGGGATGCCTGTGAAACATTCTTAGCAGGTACAACAAGGACACAGTACAAATCACGTCAGCAGGGAAGAAAGGAGGTGGGGGTTGGGGGAGTCCCCTGTTCCACAAGAACAAGGCAAGGAAATTGGTTTGCAAAGCTGACTCTGTAGCACCATTTCAGGTGCTACAGAGGGAACCAAGGACATGAGGTCAGCCCTGATCAGCTGAGTGGGAAGCCATGACCCTTCTAGGTGAGAGGAATGAAGGGAGGAGGCTGTTACCAGAGCAGGACAGCACTCCAACTAGAACCACAGGGCCAGGTGGAGCTGGAGCTGGGGCCCAGGGAAGGGTGTGTATGAATGCCCTGCTTACACCCTCTTCTCATTCTCCACCTCCCATAGGATGACCCCAAAGCACCCAGCTGACAAGGAGGGACAGCAGGAGAAGGATGGGAAATGGATCTGAGGGCAAACAAGCCCAGATTGTCTTCTGGCTCAAGAATGACCAAGACCCATGTGCCCCCAAGACTTGCCAGCCATTCACTGAGTTCTGCAACACTGGCCTACTTGCCCTGAGACTCACCTGCTACAGAGAAGTTGTTTAAGGGGGGTGAAGTCTGGTCAGGAGCCTCTGGCCTCTCCTTATACCCAATGAAGGAGCCATCGCTCTTCAGAAGGAAGTACCGTGGCCTCCATGTCTTGATGTATTCACCTGAAAGAGGCGGGAGAGGAGAGAGGTCAGGACAAGGTTGAACAGTATCCCAGGCGGTCAGGCAGGCAGGCAGGCAGGCAGGCAGCCCAGTGTGAGGGTGACTCACAAGGGGCACCACAGTGGGAGGAGGGTGGATGAATGTGCCTCTCCCAGGGGAGCCCTCAAGGTGGCTCCTGCTGACGCAGGCTGGGGCACTGGGCTGGTCCTGAATGATCAACAGGGTCATGCCTGGCAGGAAGGCACCTGTAACAGTGCCCCAGAACACCAGCTGCCTCAGCATGTGGCCAACAGCAAGCTATCCCTGCCAGATGGTCCCATCCTAAGGGAGGCCCAGGCCTATAAACACACATGTCCTGTGACCCTGTTAAGGCCAAATGCCATGGGCTTGAATTCACCAGCATGGCCATGGAGGTGAATCAAATGTCCAAATACTTTTGTGCCAGGTGGGCTATAGCTGCTTCCACACCCTTCGAGTACCTGCAATCCCTTCCACTTTTCTGGAAGCTGGGAGCCAGGAAGAGGCTGAGGCAGGACCCACATGCACTTGCCTGAACACTTTCTACAAGGACCCGCTCCTTTGAGGGCTGCCAAGGGTGAAATGAGATGGTGAAACAAATGTCCACATAAAAACCCACACATGAGCATCCATAGCAGCAGTACTCATAGCAGCCCCAAAGTGGAAACAGCCCAAATATTTATCAACCAATGAGTGGTTTATCAACAGAACCTGGTGGATCCAAATGGAAAACTTGTAGGCCATAAAAAGAAATGAAGTTCTAATACATGCTATGAAGTGGATGAACCATACTTAGGCTAAGTGAAAGAAGTCGATCACAAAGGACCACAAATTCCAGACAGTGTTTTACAATGGTTCAACTTTATGACAGCATGAGGCCAACAAGCCTTCAGTACATAGCACACTTCAATGGGAGATTCTGAACTTTTCCCAAGCTACCTATACACAGTATATGATACTGGGCTCCTGGTCAACCACATGATCACAAAGGTGCTCAACTAACACTACCATCCCTTACTGCTAAACTACAGTGCTCTGTAAGTTATGTGCATTAAATGTATTTTTAATTTATGATAGGTTTACTGCGATGTAATCCTGCCATGTTGAGGAGTATCTATATGAGTCCACTTGGGATGCAGAGCTTAGGGGAAGACTGGAAGGTGATGGCCAATGGGGACAGAATCTTTTGGTGTGTAAAAAAAATCTTCTACAATTGACTGTAGTATTGGTTGCACAACTCTGAATACTGAACTGTCCCCTTCAGAAGGCTAAATTGTAAGGCATGTCTATTATATCTCAATGATGAGACAGCAACCATGAAACACCCAGCTCAAGAGCCCAGCACACTGCATACACTCAATGAAGGCTCTTCATTATCAGTCCACTGTGCAAGAAGTGTGTGCCAGGCACTTGACTTCCATGGCACATGAAGAGGCAGGACACAGTGGACTGAGGTATATCTGCTGGATGTAAGTAAATCATTTCCCTTTTCTGAACTGTTTCCTCTTCTGGGGCCATCCACTAACTGAGGAGGAAGACAGCAATGAATAATAATGATACCACAGTGCTCTTTGTGTCAAGCACTGTCTTAAGTATCTCATGAGTGGGTTTTAACTTATAAAATTCTCTCAAATGTAGATATAAATTACTCCATTTATATAAAGTACAAACTCTAGCAAAATCCTAAATTCAACAGCATATTAAAAAGATGCCTGGTGTGATGGTGAAGACCAAGAGCCCCAGCTATTCAGAAGACTAAGGCAAGAGTTCAAGGCCAGCCTGGCCAATAAAGTGAATCTGTTTTAAAATATATATACGTACATTTATATCCCATGACCAAGTGAAATGTATCCCAGGAATGAAAAGATGGTTCAATGTACATTGAAATAATGACGTGATTGTCCCAATCGACACAGGAAAAGCATCTGACAATCCAACTCCCTTTCAGGATAAAAATACTCAGCAAGCTATGAACAGAAGGAGCTTCCGTAATGTGATAAAAGGCATCTATGAAAAGCTCACGGCTGACGACTGACGTCACACTGAATAAGGAAAGACGGAAAGCTTCTCCCTAAGGTCAGGATCAGGACAAGGATGCCTATCTTTACCACTGCTGTGCAAAATGAAATAAAAGGTACTAAAGGGAAAAGGAAAGAAGAAAATTACCTTTACTTTGCTGATAATGTGATCCTATGTAGAGAAAAAGCACAAAGAATCTACAGAACAGCCAGGCATAGTGGCTTGGACCTAAAGTCCCAGCTACTCAGGAGGCTGACACCAAATGATCATTTGAGCCCAGGAGCTCAAGGCTGACCTGGGTAAAATATTGAGACCCCAATTAAAAAAAAAAAAATATCCAGACTGGGATTGTGGCTCAGTGGTAGGGTGCTTGCCTAGTGCATGTTAAGTCTCTGGGTTTCATCCTTAGCACCATACAAAGATAAATAAATAAAATAAAAGTATTGTGTCCAAAGTAACCTCTAGAGTTAATAAGTTTAGCATAATCAATGCACAAAAATCAGGTGCTTGGGGGGGGCTGGGGTTGAGGTTCAGAGGTAGAGCGCTTGCCTACCATGTGTGGGACACTGAGTTCAATCCTCAGCACCACATAAAAATAAAATAAAGATATTATGTCCACCTATGACTAAAAAATAAATGTTTAAAAAAATCAGCTACATTTCTATATACCAACACCAATAGCCCAAAAAGGAAATTTAAAAAAAATTCATTTACTATAGTTCCCAAAAGAATAAAATACTTAGGAATAATGTAATCATGGAGATAAAAGGTTTTCATACTATAAAACATTAATTTAAAAAAATGATCTAATAAATGCAAGGACATCCCTTGTTACTGGATTGGAAGATTTAACATTGTCAGGCTGACAATATTCAGAGTGACCAGGTGTGACGAAATCTCTCTCAAAATTCCAACAGCCCTTTTAGAGAAATGGAAAAGTCAATCTTCAAATTTATATGGAATTGCAAGGCATTCTAAACATCCAAGACAACATTAAAAATTTTTAGCCAAGTTAAGACTCCATATTTCCCAATTCCAAAACCGACTACACAAAGCTACAATAACCAAAACAGTGTGGTAAAAGGATAAATATATAGACCAATGAAACAGAATCAAGAAGTTAAATGACAAACCCAAACACTAAGGTCAAATGACTTTCAACAAGGGGTGCCAGAGCACTCACTAGAATAATTCAGCAAATAGTGCTGGCACACCTGGAAGTCCACATGCAAAAGAGTGAAGTCAGACTTCTACCTCACACTATCCACCACATACAAAAACGCATTAAAAATCTATTAATCTAAGAGCTGAAACTGTAGAACTCTAACTAGAATACAAAGGATTAAATCTTCACTATCGTGGATTTGGCACTCTTAGATGACACCAAAAAGCAAAAAGAAAAAAAAAAGTGAACTTATCAAAATGAAAAACTTTTGTGCATGAAAGAACACTATCAAGAAAGTAAAAAGGCAGCCAGGTGTGAAGGCACATGCCTATAATTCCAGCTACTCAGGATGCAGAAGGATACCAAGTTTGAGGCCAGCCTATCAACTTAGCAAGACTGTTTCACAACAAAAATAAAAAGGGTTGAGGCTGGGTATGCTGGCGCACTCCTATAATTCCAGTGGCTTGGGAGGCTGAGGCAGAAGGATCATGAGTCCAGAGTTCAGCAACTTAGCAAGGTACTAAGCAGCTCAGCAAGACCATGTCTCTAAGTAAAATATAAAAAGGGCTGGACACGGGGTTCAGTGGTTAAGCTCCCCTGGGTTCAATCATCAATACCAAAAATAAATAATAAATTAATAAATAGGGCTGGGAATGTAGATCAGTGATAGAGCTTGTCTAGCACATGTGAGGCCCTGGTAAAATAAAGGGAAAAGAAGGAGGGAAGAAGGGAAAGAGGGAGGGAGACAGGAAGGGAAGGGAAAGAAGGAATGAAAAGGAAGGAAGCAGGGAGGGAAAGAGGGGAGGGATGAATGGACAAAGACAAAAATAACCTACAGAACAGGAAAAAATGCTTGCAACTCATATGACAAGAGTCTAGTATCTGAAAAATATAAAGAACTCTTACAACTCAACAACAAAAAAAACAGCTTATTAAAAAGCGGGTAAAGGAATTGAACAGACATTCTTCCAAAGATTATACAAATGGCCAACAAGCCATAAAAAAATTCTTAATAACACAGTTGTTAGAAAAAAAATCTAAATCATGATGAGACACTACTTCACACGCACTGAGATGACTGTAATAATAATAATCTTTTTTTGGCGGTTGGGGGGGGGCGGCGGTCGGTGATTGAACTCAGGGGCACTTAACCACTGAGTCACATCCTCAGCCTTAGTTCATATTTTATTCAGAGACAGGGTCTCACTGAGTTGCTTGGTGCCTTGCTGTTGCTGAGGCTGGCTTTAAACTCCGGATCCTCCTGCTTCTTCCCAACCTCCCAAGCCGCTGGGCTTACAGGCGTGTACCACTCTGCCCAGCAATAATGATAATCTTAAAAACACAAACAAAAGGGGCTGGAGTTGCACCTCAGTAGTAGAGCACTTGCCTCACATTTGTGAGACACTGGGTTTGATTCTAAGTACCACACATAAGTAAATGAATAAAATAAAGGTCCATCAACATCTAAAAAAAAATTAAAAAAAAAAAACACAAACAAAACTGAGCATGGTATTACACATCTGTAATTCCAGCGGCTCGTGAGGCTGAGGCAGGAGGATTGCAAGTTCAAAGCCAGTCTCAGCAACTTATAGAGACCCTGTCAAAATAAAAAATAAACTGCCGGGCTCAGTGGAGCATGCCTGTTAATAGCAGTGGTTCAGGAGGCTGCGGCAGGAGGATCACAGAATTCAAAGACAGCCTCAGCAAAAGCCAGGTGCTAAGCAACTCAGTGAGACCCTGTCTCTAAATATGATACAAACTAGGGGTGGGATGTGGCTCAGTGGTTGAGTGCCCCTGAGTTCAACCCCTAGTACTAAACACACACACACACACACACAAGGACTGTTTAGTAAGGAGATGAAGAAACTAAATCCCTGTGCATTTTTGGAATGTAAATGGTACAAGACACTGTAGAAAAATCTGGTGCTTCCTCAAAAAGTTAAACACAGAATATACTATAAATTATAAATATAGGAAATATGACTCAGATTATATAATTACACACATTTACATATTATGTATATATTAGATATTAGATTATAAATGCAAATTACAAATACAGACTACATGATCCAACAACTGTCCTAGGTAATGCACCTGAAAGAACTGAATACAGGTATTCAAACAAATACTGTACATTTTGTTCAAAACAGTACTATTCACAATAATGAAAAGGGAGAAACAACTCCAATATATATCTAGAGATGGATGGATAAACAAAATATGATATGTCCATAAAGTTGATTATTTGGCCTCTGTAACACAGAGGAACCTCAAAAACATTATGCTAAGTGAAAGAAGCCCGTCACAAAAGAGCATATATTGTACAATTCTATTTATACGAAGGGTCTAGAGTAGGTAAATCCACAAAAACAGAAAGCAAACTGATAGCTGCCAGACACTGGGAGGAAGGGGGTACAGAGACTGACTGCTTAATGGATATAAAGTTTTCATTGGAGATGATGAAAACATTTTGGAACTAGTTAGAGGTAACAGTTAATACAACATCATGAATGTACTAAAAGGCCACTGAATTGTATAATTTAAGATGGTTATTTTAATATTATGTAAATTTCACCTTCTTTTTAAAAAAAAAAGAAGACAAAAATTAGAAAACTGCAAGCTTGGGAAGGGCGCAGAGGCTTCTGCAGATTGTTTTTTTTTCTTTCTTTCCGTTTTTTTTTTTTTTTGGGGGGGGGGGGGGGGACTAGGGATTGAACCAGAGGGACTTTACCACTGAGCCGCATTGCCAGCCCTTTTTATTTTTTGAGACAGGGTCTTACTAAGTTGCCTGGGCCCTTGCTAAATTACTGAGGCTGGTCTCAAACTTGCAATCCTCCTGCCTCAGTCTTCCAAGTTACTGGGATTATAGGCATGTGACACTGTACCCAGCTCTATTTCTTTATTGCACGCACGCTGGCACAGGGGTGAGGTAATGATCCAGAACTTGTCTTGGATATCAAGAAACCTAGAATTAAAGAAAAAAGGAGTCTTGTGATCTTATCCCCCATTTTGTATGGGGAACCTGAGGCACAGGCAGCCTTGTCAAGGTTCACAGCTGTCCTATAAGAGCTAGCACTCCTGACCACTAAGTTGGCCTTGTAAGGAGCCTGGCAGAGGGTGGGCACTCTGCTAATGATGGTGGTGGTGTACTAAGGCTGTGCCACAAGCAGGACCCACATGTAGCACAAGGGACTCCACATTCTTAGACCTTGCTGAACAAGAGGCAGCACATAAACTAGACTTTGAGGACATTCATTTATTCAGCAGCCAGGAGGCCTGAATTCAACCTCACACTCTGCACTAAAACTCTGGGTGATCACTCTTGCTGCTAGTAAGATGGTAGCCACCTTACAGGGCATCTATGAAAATTCAACACTGGGGCCGGACACAGTGGTGCATGCCTGTAATCCCAGTGGCTTAGGAGGCTAAGAAGGAGGATCGCAAGTTCAAAGCCAGCCTCAGCAAAAGCCAGGTGCTAAGCCACTCAATGAGACTCTGTCTCTAAATAAAATACAAAAAAGGGTGTAGCTCAGTGGATGAGTGCTCCTGAGTTTAATCCCCAGGAAACCTCCTCCCCACCACACCGAAAAAAATCAACACTGAGCTTGTCTGGGGCAAAGTCCAGAGCCTGGCAGGGTGGGCACTCCAAAAAACAGTACAGCAATTATTTTAGCCAGCAAGGGTTGGAGCAGAGATGCTAAGACAACAGCTGCCTCAATGACAGGCACCAGGGAGGCCTGGAAGTACACGAGCACAGGTGTGTACACGTGTGTTGTGCTAACTTAAGGCAGGTATGTCCAAGTTGGGCCAACTCAGCAGACAGGGACAGGACTGTGGACCACTCATCTGGTCTTGCAGCATGAATTGGGACAGTGATGCCCTAACAGGGACTGAGACCCACTTAATGCCATCAGCTAAGTCCCCAGGCCAGAGATAAACTCCCCAGCCTTTGACAGTTCTCCAATTACCTCCAGGATTCCTGGCACTTGAGCCCAGTGAGCCATGGGCCTCGGGAAGCTTGAGTTGAGGGACAGACCTAAGACCCTCGCACACTCTAGCACATTCGCACCACACACAATTCCAGTTGTTCATCCAACTATCATTTATTGAGTGCATACTGTATGACAAGCACTTTTGAGGTGATGAGGACACGTCAGTGAACAAGTCACGTGGAAATCCCTGCCCTCATGGTCACAGAGGCCTGGGCTGTTAACCTAAGATACAGATGTAAAATGAAGGCTCAGTCAAATGACACAGCTTGCCCACCATCACCATCTGTCAAATTTTGCAAAGTTCCACTAACAGACCCAAATTCAGGGTTGTCTGTGGGGGCTGGGCAGAGGTGCCATGAATGCTGCCCCTGCCTGGAGAGGGCAGCAGGAAATGGGTCCTTCTGCTCATTCTGATGGGGAGTCCTTGCCTGGCAGTGGCCTCTGTCTCGCATCACTGTCTGGTGTCTGTGGACTGGGACAGGGCAGAATGGTTCTCTTCTCCTGGTTCCACAGGGTCAATCCCATCAATCACCTGCCCACCCACCTCAGGACTCACTGGCCATCCCCTCTGTCCATGTGCCCCTGACCCAGTGAGCTGTGGTGCCCTCTTCTGCCTCCCCCAGGTCTTTTTTCCCTGGTTACTGTGAATTGAGTCCTGGGGTACCTTGCCACTGAGCTACATCCCTACCTCTTTTTCTTTTTCACTTTGAGACAGGGTCTTGCTAAATTGCCCAGGCTGGCCTCAGCCACCCAAACAGAGTTACAGGTGTGCACCACCAAGTCTGGCTCCTTCAGGTCTTCATTTAGACATCCTCTTCTTAGTGAAGACCTCCTCCTAACCACTGAAATTAAGATGGGTCTCCAAGTTCCTGCCCACCTCACACCCCATCCTTCTCTCATTGTCTGGTTCTACTCCACAGCATGTACCACGACATCATACTCACATCAGCCTGGGTGCTACCTGCCTCCCACCCAGAATGTAAGATATCATCACAAGTACAGGATTTTGCTATAACCCTGCCACCCGAACCACAGGGACTGATCCACAGGGACTATACCTGAACCACCGGGACTGATCCATCAATAAATGCTTGCTGAATGGATGAAAGTGCAAGTAGAGGGAGGGGCTAAGGAGATAGCTCAGTGGTAAAGTGTTTGCCCGACATGCATGAGGCTCTAGGTTCAAATCCCAGCACCACCACCACATACACACACACACACCAAAAAAAAAAAAAAAAAAAGAAGAAGAAGAAAAAGAAAAAGAAAGTGAAGTGAAGTAGAACAACTACTAAAAATTCAGCTATGGACAAAGCCATTTCATAGCATGTGCTTCTTCCTGCCTGCATCCCAAGGTCACCTGGTGGCTGGCCCAGGGAACAGGCAACTTTGGGAATCTTAAGGTCTAGTCTCTTCCCCACGCATGACTTCACTAGCGCCTCAACTTCCCATCAGTACACTGCATCAGGTCACACCATGGATCACAATACTCAGGGCTTCCTACTGTCCAGAGTTAAAGCCAAGGTCCCTTCTGTGGCCTACAGGGCCCAACATGGTGGGAGCTATGTCACTCCTCTCTCCTCCACTTCACCCTGCTCACTGCACTCCAGTCATGCTTTTCCCAGAAAACAATGGGCATGGGCTGGCTGCATGGCACCTTAAGAGAGAGTACCTGCCTATGTGCATAAGGCTTTGGGTCCATCCCCAGCACTGCAAAAACACAACGCAATAGGCATCACCTCCATGTTAGAGCCCTGACCTTGCTGTCCCTCCCCCTGGGACGCCCTTGCTCAGCTATCTGTGTGGCTCACTCCTGCACCTTCTCCAGGGTTCCTCAAAGCAGCCTCCTTTGCCTTGCCCATCTCCCTGGCCCCTTGCTCCTCAGAGTTTCTACGTTTTTTGCATAACAGCACTTATCACTATCACATGTCTACTCATTTGTTGTCTGTCCCCATTCCCTACTGGAATGTGAATTCTATGAGGATGCCACTGTGTCCCAAAGCCTGGGACAATGTCAACGAATATTTGCTAAATGACTATTGAATACTGCCCTCAATTAAGTGACTTCCTTTCTCTGCCTCTTTCCACACCTATTAAATGAGGCTAAGAGCAGTGGTGCATTCGGGTAATCCCAGCAAATCAGGAGGCTGAGGCAGGAGAACTATCAGTTCAAGGCCAGCCTCAGCAATTATGTGAGACCTTCAGCAACTTAACAAGACCCTGTCTCAAAATTTATAAATAAATAAGTAAATAAGTAAGTAAGTAAATAAATAAATAAATAAACAAAAAGGGGTTATGAACAAGATCGCTGATGCAAGGAAGAGCCTGAGGCCTGGTCTGTGGCTCGTCCAGGGTGTCCAGCTAGGCCTGGACACTCAGCCCCAGTAGATCCTCAGCTCCCTCCCCAGGGACCCTGAAGGATTCCATGAAGTGGTATGCACGTAGCTAGTGGCATGGAGGCTACAAACACTAACTCCTTGGGTCAGTAATCACCCTATGCTTCCACCTCTCAGGGTGCCAGATGCCAAAGAGTCAGGATAGGAGGGGAAGACACATTATCAAATGGGCAAAAGCCACCCCTTACCACGTTTGTGCAGCCAGCCTTCTTTGATGACAGACACTTCATTCATGGTGGCAGCGTGACACGCTGTCACCTAGCTTGGGACAGCTCAGGGCAGCAGGACATGCAGGAGGTGCTGTGGATATAGTCTGGAAGACAAGAAGGAGCATGTCAGAGTGGGAGAAATTCCACCCCAGCCCCTTCCCTCAGGACACTCAAGACTCTGAGGCCCTCTGGCAACTTGGCCTGCTGTGTACCAGGTATAGCCAGTGAAGATGGGGGACAGCCCTGCCCTTGAGGGCCCAGACTTAGCAGAGACATAACCAGGTCTCCGGAGACCCCAATCCTATGTGTGGCCAAGCCTCTGCACTCAGGCCCCTCCTGCTACCCTTCCTGCTGGCTGGGCAGTCACTGAGGTAGCTATGGCTCTGCCCAGTGCATCACTCCCATGCCCCAGTACTGAGGTAACCCAGAGTGAATCACGCAGCCCTGGGCACCAAGCGGAGGGTGTGCTCACAGCCATCAGCATCTGCCTGCCCCACAACACATATATCCACACACACACTCTCTCTTTCTCATTCCCATTCTCTCTTTTCAAAACCAGAGAACCACCAACCTATCACCTTCAGCAAAATAAATGTCCATCCACCCCATGCTGGACTACCCCAAGCCACTCTCTCAGCCTCAGTTCCCTCCCTGCTCCCACCAAGAGGACTGAGAAAAGACAAGAGTGGCATTCTGGGGTCCTAAACAAGCAACCTACTGTGTATGCGCCTGTCTGGGCCTAGGAGTCAGTTCTGGTCCCTTCCCCAAGACCTCTGCTTCTGTCCTCAGGGACCAGCAGCCGACAGACTGATGGACGCCGAGGCTGCTGCCTCGTCTCAGGTTCCCAAAGCGGAGTGCAGAAGGGTGCAAGGAGCTGCCAGCTGGGCCCTACCTGGAGCCAGGGGCCTGGACTGGAGCCACGAAGCTCAAGGCGCCTTTTGCCTTTCCTGGCCTGAGGTTATTTGCGGACAGCAGGTCAGGAGCTACGGTGGCCCCCAGAGAAGTGTCAGCTGGCTCTAGGGACACCATGGGCATCAGCTTTCTCTCGTGCCCCAGGGGAGCTGGTGGGCCGGATACGCTACTGCCTGGCATGTGACGGTGGCAAGCTGCCCAGGCCCTGGGCAGAAGGAAGGGAGGTAAGTGGGAGGAAGCGGGAGGAAAGGCAAGATGGACAGCGACAGGGACATAAACAGAACGGTGAAAATCACATTTTGGACTCCTAAGATGCAAAGGCAACGATTCTGGGCTGGGAATAGCAACAAGGGCCTCCTTATAAGCAGGCATGGCACCTCAGACCCTGAACACAGGACAGCTAGAACCCTCCACTCTCTCCCCACAATGTCAATCTGCAATGTGACTGCCTGGCCCCATGCCTCCCGTTCCCTTCCCAGTTTATGGCCTGGCTAGTGGGATCACGCTCCCAACTCCTCCCTGGACTCCCCCTGCATCCTATCCCCTGTTCAGCAGCTAAAGGACTCTCAAATTTGACTCTGTTCTTTCCCTGCTCAGAATCCTTCTGTGGCCCTTCATTGTCCTTGGCAAAAAAGTCAAACTCCTCAGCTTGATATCCAAAGCCTTTCAGGACCCGCTCTGCCGCTCTTCATCCCTGCTGCCTCTTGCGCACTCACCCTGCACGCCTCCCGCCCCAGCACCAGCCCAGTCCCCACAGCCCCCTCCTCCAGCCCTGGCCTCCTCCCTGGGCTCACAGCCTCTGCTCTCATCCCTATAGCTCCATTTTAAATGGACCTTGTCCCTCTCCTCACTCAAAACCCTTCCACAGCTCCCCAATGTGCTCAGAACAAGAACAAAGTCCGTGCTGTACTGAGTAGGCCCCGTGGGAGCTGAGACACACATCCAGAAACCAAAGGCTAAGACAATGGCAATGGTCATTAACATGCCTCGCTACCCCCCCCAAAAAAAAAAATCAGGCATCTGTCACCTAGACTACATCCCCTTGCCTTCTCCCTCCACCGTGAGGTCTCAGTCAAAAAGTGACTCCTCCAGGAAGCCTCCCAGTGCTCTGTGCACCCACCTCTGGCAATTCTCCCCACCCCTGTCAAAGCTGATTCAGTGTCCAGCATAGCACCAATACCAGCTGAACATGATAAATTAATCACGGCTCCCAAGGCAGCAGCCCAAATCAGAGATCGCTGCAGAAACCTCTGCATTCTACTCATTCCACCAGTCTTTCTGAGTGTATCCTAAAGCTTCGGACAGTGCTAGATAGAGCATCACTAAGATACAGCCCTTGTCCTGTCTTATGAAGCTCACATTCTAGGGAGAAGGCAGAACCACACACATTCAGAACCATGTCAGCTTTGGCAAAAAGGCACTGAGAGGGAAAACAAAGTAAAGAGAAAGACAGACAGGGAGTGGGGTGCTATGTGAGCCGCACAGCGTAGAGGACCCATGAGCAGACACCTTGAGGGACCAAGGAGTGAGGAGTGCAGAGGTACAGGGAAAAGCATTTCAGGCAGAGGAATAGTGAATGCAAAGTCCCCAAGGCAGGAAGGAGCTGGTGTGGGCAAAGCCAGGAGAAAACACTCGAGGTATTCCGAGGTGTGGCGGGGAGCTGAGGTGGACACCATACTTCTCCCTGCTGAGTTCACTTCCCAAAGAGCTGAGATAGAGAACTCAGCTGAGGAAGAAAGAGAACAGGGGTCCCAGGTCCAGCCTCAGCTCCTCTTGGAGGCCCAACAATATCACCTCTCGGAGCCTCTGCAACCAGGTAGCACAAGGCTCCAGAGCAGCACTCAGGCACCTACTGTGGGAAGAGGGTTCAACCCATTATCTGGACCTGATAAAGTCAAATACATGGCTGCCATTATTCAAAAGCTAAGTGAAGGCAATCAGGTATGACCGAGAGTGGTCAGGGTTCCAGAGTCCACGAGCCATCCCCAGCTGGGTGGCCTTGGGCAGGGTGCCAGCACTCCTGTAGAGCCTCTCCTGAGTGCTCGTAACACCCCACCAGAGGGGCCGTAACTGTGCCCAGGCAAGGACAGAGGCTCAGAGAGGGGAAGCCATTTACCTCGAGTCTCCCAGCTGAGTGGTGGAGGCCTGGCAGCGGCTCAGCACGCCACAGTCACGTTTTATGGTCTTGTTTCAGCAACTAAAAAGCCAGCGGCAGCTCAGGCGAGAACAGGGGGAGGAATTGGAAGATCCCCTGTGTCCTGCCTGGATCCTGCCCCGTCCTCCCACTGAGGGTGGCGCCTCGGCTGAGGTGTCTGTGACGCAGTCCTTTGGTGATGAAACACCAGGCGGCATGGCCAAGAGGACAGCCTGCTCACCAGGGAGTGCAGGCCTAGGACACAGGCAGGAGGGAACCCAGGCAGCATGCAGGGCTCTGCGCTGGCCACTCGGCAGGCAGCACCCCCTCTGCAGGGAGCCTGTATGGCTCTTCCCCACTCACTACTTCCTAGGACGCCCATGCATGAGTGTGCTGAGGGTTCTGGCCAGGGCTACAGCTGTTGACCAGAGGTGAGCCACGTGGGAAGCAAGGCAAAAAGAGAAAGGGCAACTCACAGGACACCCAGATGAATAGGGAACAGGCACAACCTCATTAGTTATGGGGACATAAAGATTAAAACCACCTGTCTGGGATGCTGAAATTAAAAAAACTGACAACACCAAGCATCAGCAGGGATATGAGGAATCACGATTCTATGCAATACTGGAGGAGTACAAAATGGCCCAACCACTGTGGAAAAGTGTTTGGCAGTAAGAATTAAAATCCCACCAGGTATGGTGGGATGTACCTATCGTCTCAGCACTCAGGAGCTTGAAGCAGGAGGACCCCTTGGTATGGGAGACTAGCCTGGGCAACACAGTGAGACCCCATCTCAAAACAACAACAAAATACACACACACACACGCCTACCCCATAACCCAGCAATTCCAGTCCCCCAGAAGAAATTAATACATTTGTTCACTAAAAAACACATAGAAGAAGGTTCACAGGAGCAATATTCCTAGTGATTGCCAGGATTCCATCCACAAGAGATTGGATAAATCAACAAGTGAATTAATATTTACAGAACACCACTCACGCCACAGGGAGGAGGCATAACAGAATTAGACGGAGTGGAAGAAATCAGACACAAAGTAACACAGCCAGTGAGAGTCCATTCACAGCTAGATCGAAACAGGACAGGTCATGCTGTTTGCTGTTTAAGAACGTCTTTCTCCTCTGCAAAAAAATCAAGGAGAAACAAATGTCAACAAATGCCACAAAGGAAGGGTCTTAGGGAAACTCTGGGAGGTGACACTGTTTCCCTGTGGTCACACTGGGACCTGCTTTACAACCACTGGTTCTACTGCACTGTAGAAAGTATCTTCCATGTATTTTTCTGCATTTTAAGACAAAAGAAGTAACCATACAGAGGAACCCTGATTTGGAAGTTCAGATGACATGAAGCCCAAATTGGGCCTCCTCCTATGTCCCAAAGCAGGGCTCTTCCCCCTTCCCCCTCAAGAAGGCCTGGCCATCTGTGCACAAGGATGCCTCTGGAGTCCCAAGGAACTGAGTTTCAGCCTCAGGCTGTCTCTTGGCCATGTGACCACAGGCAAGTGACACCCCTGGTGCTCCCATGTGTACACTGATCCCACTGGAGTGGTGGCCTGACCCCTCACAAGGAAGCTGGAGGCAACTTCTTGACCTATGCATAGAAATGAAATCACACACAGTGTGACCACACAGTGGTCAGTCTAGATGGGGAAGGAGGGGAGGCAACTGGAGAGGAGATGGGAGGCAACCCAACAAGGCTCTGACTGTGCTGGTGAGGTTTTATTTATTTATTAAACATTTATTTTTTTCCTTTTTAAATTGTATTTATTTTTATGTAGTGCTGAGAATTGAACCTAGTACCTCACACGTGCAAGGCAAGCGCTCTACCCCTGAGCTACATACAGCCCCAGCCCTGGTTGTATTAATTTTTTTAAGAGCTGCTGACTACATGGGTATCATTGACTAATTTATCTCTATGCTGCAAACGCTCTATAATAAATTACTTTAAATTTTCTTTAAAACATTTTTATTTCCATCTGTCTGGCTCAGGGGACTATTTCTCAACGGTTTCTAAACTGAAGCCCCTCAGAGGCTGCATCC